GACCGCTCAATTCCCTGACTTACGGCACTGTTTTAGAGGGTGTTTGCACTGTGGTACATTCCTCTCTCAAAGTTTTTGTTTTGTTTTTGTATTTGGGAAAGATATCTATAAAAATAAATAAAAAGGCTTAATAGTAAGAGAAATGCATGTAGGACTGAAGCAGACCTCTCAACTGCAAATGACATTTTATTATCTTACCGTCTTCTGAAGGCTGGTGTATACCCCAGCTCAGTAGAGCCTCTATGTATTTCTTTGTTATATTTGTCATATCTCATAAGTTCACAATAACATAATTATTTCCTTATACATCAGGTGATCCACTGCATCATGGCCTTTTAAAAACAGCTTCTGGTAGTGCAGAGCTATGATCATGGTCAGATGCTTTATTTTTCTATTTTTTAAGTTAAGATCAAAACAAACTGGAAAATGCCATACAACTCAACAAAAAGTTGTAAAAAATATCCAGAGGGATACACAGTTCTGTCTTTCATACCAAGAGTTTTGCTGTTTTTCCCCCAAAGAACAGAAAGATTGGCAGCATTTTATTCACAGCGTCGGTAAAAATAGAAGTAGTAATCAGTAAAAAACACTCCAGCATAATGGCGATCTGTTGAGCAGTCTGCAAGATCCTGCAGGAGAAAAAAAGGGAGATTAATATAGGATCTTCTGTGAGCTCAGAGGTTTTGTCTTTTGCTGTGTTCCCATTTGAAACAAGCTTACCGGTGCAGCCACACGGAAATAGTATCCGCTGTCGTACAACCTAGTTACGGGCAGGCTCCAAATATGCTGATAGCCCTAGATGATAAATGAGAGAGAAAGAGATCCGATAACCCCATTTCGCATGAAATTGGAGAGAAAGAAAGTCTGGGGAAACATTTCATTGACAAATGCAGTGCAAGCAATTATGATAACAAGACTTGAGAGGCAGTCAGAGTATTTAAAGACAAAGTGCTGACTTTAAGCTTTGCAAATGCAGCTTTGCTCTGATCAGCTCTGAGCAGGAGCTGACAGACATCTGGCTCCCGGCGCCTCTCGGCTGGCTCGGGGTAACTGAGCTCCCTCTCTAGCCTTCAAAGCAAATTGCAAGTGGGAATTGTCCCCGATGTGCCAGGTGGCCTGTGAGCTTTAATAAAGAGAAACAGCAATTCTGCTGATTTAGGAGTAGCAGTGATAGTCCTGTTCAGAAGGCAACTTCCTCCATATATTCAAAAGATATGAGCAGCGTCTTCGCCATCGCTCAATATTTCAAAAATTGATACTGGGAAGATTTCATTTTACTTCTGATTGCAATGTGCAAGTGAAAAAATATATTTTATACCTCTGACTTCTATTCTACGCTGCATAAAATTCAACCCACACCTCTTTGTTGTGAAATGATCCATTCTGATACCCCTATGATATTTTTTATTTCATCACTTCTTAATGTCTCAACTCTTTTCTCTTTTCTTCCTCGCTTTGATATACTCCCTGTGTAGGAGATGAGAGGTTTACATGACAGAGTTTATGAGAAAATTGTCCAGAGTCCAAATGACTGCTCTCTTGCCCTTCGGCAGGGGATAAACCTTCCAGTCCTCGGGAAAATCCTTATGAAAAGAAGTTCCCAACCAGGCTGCATTTCTGTCCTGAGTCAGGTTAAGCCTGAATGCTCCCTGCTGCTGGAGTCTGGCTGGCTTTAGTCTTCTGGCGTGGATTTCAGGCTAACCCATGAAGTCCCTTGGACCAGCTTTGGCACTAAGCTTCAGGGATATTTCTGCCCGGGCAAACTCTCTGAGTCTAACAAAATTTCCAGGAGTGCTGGAATTACAGCAGACTGGTCAAAGTTTGGAGAACTTCATCTCCTTGAGCCTTTGCAGCACTTTCAGGTAAGCATATAACTTTATCCAAAGGTAGATGGAAAGTTTATTTAAAAGTCAACTGAAGGATGCAGATATCCTGACTGCTCTAAATTGACAAAGCACCAAAACTAGTAATTCAAAACCAATTAAGAACAAACTATGTATGATGCAATAGACCAACAATTTGAAGTTCGTGAAAGGACTCCAATTTCATGTAGGCTCCTCTTTCTGACCAGTTTGTTCAGAAACACTATCATCCTTGCTTCTATCTTTCCTACTTTTTTTTTTCTTTTAATCCAGAATAAACATTCCCAAGCAATGTGGACAAATCTGAGGACTTGGTCACGAAGACCTTCTATTTCCCCAGATTTTGAAGAAAATTTAAAGCCTTCAATTACTTTACTGGAGACGATCTACAGTTTTCAGGATCATGGCCCTAGATAACTTTCTAGAAGGAAAAGCTAATATGTTTTAATAACGTTACTTCCATCAAGATAATCCAGAGAATGACATGAAAATAACTCTTGATTTTACAGCGAATATTTTTTTTCTACAGAGCTTTACTGGTAAATTCCTCTTCACATAGAAATAACTCTCTTTAGTGAAATCAAGATCTAAAAACTGGAATTTGCTACCTGTAAGATAACAGGGGGAACAGTAAAATAGACAGGGAGTTTGGAAGAGTCTGTCTCCCAAGGCTGTGGGTAAAAAGTACTTCCATTTCTTCAAACTGGAATTTGCTACCTGTAAGATAATAGGGGGAACAGTAAATAGACAGGGAGTTTGAAAGAGTCTGTCTCCTAAGGCCGTGGGTAAAAAGTACTTCCATTTCTTAAGTATCTCTAGAGATGAAATAAGTCATAGAAGTGATTAAACTCAAGAAAAGCCTTCTTAGGGTCTTCAGAGAGCTGCTAGATTTTATTTTTATTGTTTAATAATAAAATGCAGCAGAAAACTCACTCACACCAGATGGTCACATCCTAGCTATCTGATTATGGCCATGCCAAAGCCAGCTATGTCCGGTAGACTTGAAGAACATCTGGACTTCTAGCACCTTAACTAACACCAGAATTTAGTGTCTAATAATTTTATGAGTCAGCTTTTAATGGGCCATTTCTTCCAATGAAAGCACTACTGACCCGTCCAAAGGGATAAGCTGTCACCAGCTACTTTTCTTTCCACAGTTTGTAGCTGGAGATCTTCTCCATGGGGTCCTTTATCTCTTCATTTATTCATCTATTCCTTGCAATCAGGGCTCTGTGAGGCTACTCAGTGGAACTAGATGTTATAACTAGTCTCTTCCACCTTCTAGATCTCCCTCGACACCAGAATGCATCCACACAACACAGGTGGTATCAAGAGTATCTACATTCAAGGGATCATGATGCCTTATCAATGAGACTCTGATGCTTTTATGCAAAACAGAGAGAGCTAATAGAAGGAAACATCATTCTGGAGGGCAAGGGGAAAGGAACAAGCTAATCATAAAACTGACAGAGAACCGAACACTTTTTCCTCCACAAAGCTCAATTTTCTTTTCACTTTTGCAAATTACTTTTAATCGGAAAGATAGCAAAACAGACAGTATATACAAATGATTCTCACAAGCCAGAGTATTACTGCAAAAATCTTACCTGTGTCGTTTCTTGGAAAATAGACCCACTGCTTTTGCTTAAAATATGATAGGGACAATAATTTCCAAACGTGAATTTGCACATGTATACAATTAATGCTTCTGTGGTGCTTCAAGAAAGAGGAAAAATATAAGGATCTATTCCACTGCTCTTAAATAAAATAACCATACATATATAATGCTACATAATAATAAGGAAAAAAATCCTTGCAATGGAACAAATTAATTATGATGGAGAAATAAAGCAGAGGAAATTGTTTACTTGGTTGATACGATGGGGAAAAAAAACAAACCATCAACCTCTAAACTTGTTTCATTCTCTCCCACAAATAGAGGAAGTTTTGCTTCTGGAAATCTGGGTGATCTTTACAGTCATTAAGATAAATCAAAAAATCTTCCTTAAAGTTTCCTTAAGCCCTAAGCCTATTCATAACCAGAAGCTATTATATGACTTTTTATACAACCCCGTGGTCATGACAGACTTGGGTTGCATGGCTTAACGCATAACATGACTATACAAGAGGCTATTTGGGCATCTAAACACAATGGAATAAAATTTTATGGAAGACAAAGCCTCAAAATAAGGGCCTATATAAACAGCTAACACTCGCTACTGCACATGTGCAAATATTCACATATGCTACATCCATCTTCTGTTCTAGATCAGATGTGAGACTTGTGTGTTCTAGTTTCACACGATTTTACTTAGTGGCAGGAAGGTTTTCCATATTTTTGATTTATTGTCTTAGCTTTTGTACACAGCAGTAAAACAAATATGTTTGAGTTTGTGCTTTTAAGTGAAAGGTTATAGAAAAAGTATAGACCAAAAATCCCTCTCTCCCTCAAATAATCCAATACCCACAATAAATTCTGCAACTACTTCAGTGAAACTCTGAATAAGATTTATTAATCCCTACATGGAAGGATTTCACCGCTAGTTTCTAAAGTTTAAAATATAGGTTTTCAGTTGCTGCAGAAAATGAGTGGGGCTTTATATTTCCTGTTATATTTCCTCTCGTCTCTGTTCAGAGTGGGACAAATCTATACAAAGTCCTTAACTTAGACTTTTAAGTCTAAAGGAGGATGTTTGCAAGGCGATACTTTTAAGATCAACAGATTGGATTTACAGGCCATCCGTAACTTCAAACGGCCCCGTCTTGGACAGACTGGAATTACCAAGTGTCATTGAGCAAAACGTTCAGCAGCTTTTCTGGCTAGTGCTGGCCTTCATCAGAGACCAGCTCCAAAAGAAAGGATAAGTTATTTCTGACAGAATGCAACAGAGCTAGACCTTTATTTCAGAAGAGAACCTCTACTGAGCATTAAGTCTGCTGCTTATTTCTGGTGTAAATCCTAACTCTCCATGTTCCAGAGCCAATATTCCTGCACAAGGATTCTCTTTTACAGGGCTTGATGCAGCAAGTCAAAAGAGACAGTCTCTGCCTCAGAGATTTTACATACTTGCAGCTGATGCTGTTGGGAGTTTTTATGCACATTTTTAATAACATTTCTCTACACTAAAAAAAGCAACAAACAAACAAACAAACAAACAACAACAACACAATCGGTCAAAGCCTTCAGTCCTGCTGATACAGGAGAACATTCAAATAACAAGAAGACTTATTCAAATAACAAGAAGCTTGTTCAAATAACCAGAAGACTAAAGCTTAGGACTACTGGACTTTAACAGCTACCTTGAAGGGTGAAATTGTCATTCTCCTGAAAGCAGTATTTGGTTTATGCTTCTGCAAAGTATCTCCCCAGAGGTCTAAACTAAAGAGCTAGTTTTGCATAGATTTGTCCCACTTCTCTGAACAGGGATGAATTTAACTTAGTAACAGAATAGAAATTAGGCAAGAATTTATATCAAAAATGAATCAGAGTTTTGTAATGAATGCATTATTGCTAACTGCACTTACTTGATTTCCAGTGAGATTTCTACATTCGTGGGTGTGTGTTTGTCAATGGGAATAACATAGCTGTAATTTCCAAACCTGATAAAAAGTGAAATTAATGCAGATAGGATTTCAATATAGACAGTAGTTTTGTAAAAACTGGAAATTGCTTTTAAAAGAAAAAATGTTAACAAGTAGAAAAAAGCTCAGGTAAACCAAAGAAAACTGAAGAGGAGCCCACCAAGTAGCCATGTCAAATTTATGGTACTCCTATCCCACCACAGTAAAGCATAATAAAACAATTTACCTACCTGCACTGTAGCTTTTTACTACAATAGCGACTGTCAATGATTTGCTGAGTTTCCAAAATCTGTATGGAACTGACTGTTGTATCAATCCCTAAAAATATTAGGAATAATGTTTTCTTCTTTATTATTTCAGAAGTCATAGATAAGAGCATAATAATAATGCAGTTAATGCATCTACTAGATTGCTTGTCACTACAGAAGTTGCTGCTGCTCTAAATTTGCCCTCAGTTAAAACCTGTGGTTGATGACATTCATGTTGAAGTTACAGGGAACATGGGATCCTTGTTGGATTTACACAGACAATCAGCCTGAGCGCCTCATACTGAAAAGTTTTCTTTTGACCAGACTTTGAAGACCATATTGATGGTAGTCCAATTGTCACACAAATATTTTAATGTTCATTTTAATGTACTAGTTGCTGTGGTCATACTTTTCATATTTTAAAACTAGCTCAGCATCTCATGTATAAATACATATGCATATACATTGTATATATACATGCATATATATCACAAAATATGTTTCAGGGCAATGTGAAGTGCAGTCAGATACTACTAATTGAAAACCTATTTTCTGGAGAAAAAAAAAGAAATCAAAACTTATCTAGTGCTTTGACTACCAGAAAAACCGAGTAAAGTCACTGGTTACCAGAGTGGTTATGTATCCAACCAGATTGGATTAAGTCCTTCAGTTTGCCAAAGACTTTTTGCCTTAATTTGGACCAGTCTCTCTGTGACATACACTGAAGGGGACAGATGTGGTGAGTGGAAGGGTATGGCCATACTGGCGTGGCTCTCCCCTAGGTGAATTAGCCCTGCAAAGAGACAGGCAGCAAGAAGCAGTGTGCTAACACAGCTCTACTGCTGCTGTTTGACGTGTGGGTATGCAGGCAGCAAGCAGATTATGTGCTCTGTTCATTGCTTGGCCATGGGCAGCAACCTGCTTTCAGTGTATGCCACTGCCTACATGTTTTATTATCCAAGTATTGCCCAATCTTTAAGCAAAAAAGACAAACCATAGAACAGAGCATCCACACAACTGAAAAGACAGGCACAATCCTGCTCATACCAAGTGAATGCTAGACTATAAGAGGATAATATCTGCAACCAGTGGCTACTCATCTTCACAGAAAAACATTAATATTTTCAGCCCAGACTGGCTCTGACAGCAGTGTGTAGCCATTAAAAGGGGTGTCTGACATGAAGCTGGAAGTCCTGTGCCCAAGCACTCCATTTCATCTCCATTAACGCAGGTAATGTCAGGATCCCAAAGCAGAGATGGTCCCCTTCAAGAGCTCGAGCTTTTAGGTCAACTATGGCAAAGCCCAAACACTTCCTCTACACAGTGTCCTGCACTCCCTGCACACAAATACACCACTCATGCTTAAGCTCTTGCTGTGTAAGGGATAGCAGCGTGGAGCACCTCACAGGATTTTAGCCCCTGTCAGGAAAATCACCACTTGCCTTGCTTGTGAAGCCAAGACTTCTGTCTCAAGTAGCTGCTTGCGGAAAAAGGTGCAGGTTTAGCTGAGACGAGTTCATTTTTATTAAAAAAAAACTAATGAAGATGCAGGAATAAAATGCAATGACAAGAAGATTATAGTTCAGGTATTTAATGGATTCCTAAACTCTAATTTCCTATAATAACCAGTTATAAATGAAACTTCTCTCAATTCTAGCAGCAGAATTCCAAGACTAAAGGTAGCCTTTCAAAGTTATACAATTATACATTAAAAAGGTTAAAAAAAAATGTGGGACTTACAGTCATCTCCAAGATCAAACCTTCTGTTACGATTTTCGATTGAGTTGCTTTCAGATAACAGGCTACTTGTGTTTCCTGTGCAAGAACATGTTTACAGATGTTCTCAGGTTAGCTTTGCACAGTTATGACTTCAAAATATGGACATATATATCTTGTGTGGTTATTTTTTACATGGATAAAGGCACACATGATAATCCTTTAAAATACAAACACCTCTATTTGGACTAAACCACATACAAACAAAAGGTATTTGTAAGTAAGAAGAAAAAAAGCTTCCATAAGATGTATTGAACTTTTTTTTTTCCATAAATATAATCTCCCTTATGAATGCTTTTGTTTCCACTGACCTTGAACACTGCTGACTCATCTTTTTCCTCAACAAATCTGAGACAGAGAATTAGGATCTACAGATCTACAACAGATATGCTCATCCATTATTAGTGTCT